AAAAAAAAAAAAAAAAATACAGGGCAGCAGGAAATATTTCCCTCTACGTCAGCCCACAACCCAACAAGTAATGGTGGACAAAATATCTGGTGGGCCAATTTCAATATTAAGCGTTGGTTCAAGTACCAATTTGGCAATTTTCCTAATGTCCTATCCACATTTGAAGAAAAATATAGAGCATATATACATCTTGGGTGGTGGTGTGGGCCCCAGGCGTCTGAATTGCCCCACAAGTTCCACGTCATCATGTCCTAGTGGCAATGTATACACGGGTGACAATACCGCTCCAGATGCGGAATACAACTTCTTCACTGACCCTTTTGCTTCGTACCAGGTACAACAATTTTTGGTGCGTTGGGTACAATCTTTTCGTAATCCGAATATAAATTACAGGGAAATGTTACGGTCTCGTTACGAAATCATTTTGTCGAAATTTGTAACTGTTGAGATAGTTGATCTAACGAGTACGAACTCCGTCCCGCAACGGGTTGTAGAATCTACCTAAATTAAATATCTTTTGTTTTTTTATCTTCTCTTCCAATGGTCCTAACTTGAATGTTTTTGACAAGTAAACTAGTAATAGGATTAAAAACAATATATTTATTTATTCTCAATACAACATTCTTTTTTTTTTTTCGAAACGATAGAAGTACTCAATACAACATTCACTTCAATATAATTGTATTTGAGGGCATGAATAATAATTTGTTTATTATCATATGTCATTATGTGGCATGGATACAGTGATATAAGAGATGACATAGGGTTTGAGTACATAATATCATTTGTCAAGATCGTGTTACTTTATTCTATCACTTCACTTCTAAAATCAACAACTATTTAAATAACAATTTTATTATTTTATCGGATCATACAATAGTTAGTATTAGAATTACATATATATTTTACACAAAAAATGATATATGAATGTTACATAAACAAAAAAAATCATATTGTAAAATTTTTTGTTCAATTTTATTAGATTAAGCGATTGTTTTTTAAGTAAATTAATTTGTTTTGATGTCGTAATAAAATCTCTTAGAATCGCATAACCAATTGTTACAGTAAAATTTAATATTCTTCATCAAATTAATTGGACCTGAACTCTCAAAATTACAAACATTAGTTTATTCATTACATTTTCTGCAATCAATATAGTGATTCATATGCAATCAAATAGTTACACACCATTTATTTTAACCATTGTTCAAATTTTAAAATATAATATCATTATTTAACTTATAATTTTAATACTATATGCATAAATATAACTTATCATACTCTATGTTTATATTTTAATATCAATATCTAATTCATAATATTATTATTATTATACACATATAAATAAGTTATAATACTTTTATTTAGAGAAATTTACATTCCTTACTATCAGTTAGGATATATATTACACTAATACACTAATTATAATCTTATTTATAAAATTACTAAAACAAGCCTAAATATTTACACATATACCTAAGATTTTAAATGCTACCCATGTAACTGTTATTAAGCAATTATTGGGGCAAATTAAATGCAATTGAGATAATTAATTAGAATCAAATATATCATTACCAAAAAGCATAAATCACACCCTCTCTCTCCTTGCTATCATCTCTCTCTCTGCGGAAATTATCCGGCATCGGTATTTTTATTTATCATGGGGTTATTTGCTCTAGAATATATTTGATTGAGGCATTTAGGAAGATTGTGATCAAAGGCTGCATCAAACCATTTGTATCTATTATAATGTCTTTCAAATGAGATGGTTGGTTTTTTCATCCCCTCATATTGTATTCTGTTTGTATCGTCCCCTTGTTATATATATCGTTTATATTCAGTATATGTTCGGTATATGTATGGTTTATATTTAGTAAAATCATTGAAAATATATACAAAACATATATGGAGTATATGTTCATTATATCAGAAGATTTTTTTGTAAATTGTTCGGTATATGTTGTGTATATAAAGAATATATGTTAAGTATGTTAGAAGATTTTTTGACATAAGGAATATAAATAACATGTTATAATATGATTATAAACTTATATATACTTTTATGTATAAAAGTAAAAATAAAAAGGAAATTTTTTTTGATGGAAGACATGTTTTTAATTGCAACATATACTGAACATATACTAACGTAAACGCAAGATATACTCACTGGACAGCTGCGTGAATTACAATACATGTTTTTATCTCTCTCTATTAAAAAACGTACAATATCGATCAGTTGTGTATTTTTTTTTTTTTTTTTGCAAGATGATTATTTTTTACATCCAAAATCATTGGCTTTTCAATTTAGTTAGTCGAACGGTTATGAGATTATATTGGATATGTAATCTTATCACTTTCACCAAGCATTTATTTTTTTTATATGGGACGTTTATAACCCAATAATTAAGGGGAAAAGTCAGTTTGAGTTTTGGAAACTTATAATTTGGTAAAGATCTAATTAAATCATATTTTTTAGGTATATATACAAATAAGATGATATTGGTAGTAAATACTCAATATTTTATAAATCATACGGCAAAGGTGAAAATTTCCCTTTTATTTATATATGTGCAAATACATTGGGTCGAATACTAGTAATAATAATATTGGGACACTAAGTTGTGAAGCCTTAATTAATTGATGAAGCACTTGTTTTAGGTGTTGCACTCTGGGATTTCCATAACTCTTGTCCCACTTGGCGCTACGGACACTATACCCATTTCAAGCCAATTTATGGAAGAATTTGAGAAGAACCAACACACCTTTGAGGCCCAATTTTGTTTCAAGGTCTTGAAAATGGTGTGTGATACTTGGGGCCCAAATTTCTCCAAGGTAAGTTATATTATATATATTGAAGGAATTAATCACACTTAACATAATGAAAAATGAACCCTGTAAAGGAAATGCTACGATCTCGTTACAGAATCACTCTGTCAAGTTTGTAATCGTTAGATCATCATATAACTTGTCGAGGATAATTGATCTAATGGTTACAAACCCTGACGGAATGATTCCGTAATCGGACCGTAGTTATTGCCATGTAAATAACAGTTGACATTGTATTTATAATGCAGATTTTTTTCATGTGGGATTCATTTTTAGCGGGCGTGGCTACTTCAATCATGTCCAAAGAAAACAACATAAACGGCGAAAACGAATTTGCGGACATGGAGTTTAAGAATATCACGGTCGTCACTTCAAACAAGCCTTATGGGATATCCGACGATTTGTCGAACCCATTCTTTGTTGGCGTTAACAAACCCAAGTTCCAATTGAAGCGTAACGGCGTTCATAGCGGCCATGTTTTGACTGGACCGGGAGATCCTTTTTGCATTGCCCGGAATGGGTGCATGGTTATAATTCATTAATTATTTACTTCACAGTATTTATTTTTTGTTAAGTATTGTTGTTTTTCGAATCCTAGTTCAGCATCTATGTATAGTTTATATGTGTCATTTTATGTTATGCTCAAACATCCTAGGACGGATCTACACGACAAGTAGCTGGTCAACAAGGAGTGCGTGTTCTTGTTGCTGTAAGAGCAAAGCCTAATCCTAATAAGCAAAGAACATTAGACAAAGCTTTCTACCAACACTTTCTTGATGTGAGTCGAACTACCGAAACAAATACATTACTTCTGCCCACGCGCAAACATGAATGTATTTTGTATTTAATCAGGTCATAAACCAGCCACATCAAACAGGAAAGTACAACTTCACAACACAGTTTCCTCACTACAGAGAAGTCGCCAACTTACCAGATTTGACGGGGCGAAAACGTGGAAAGGCTGTCGTTTTTGACATGGATATGAGTCCCGGAGATTTTCTCGCCCTCATTTATCTCCTCAAAGTACCTGTCGAAGAAATACATCTCAAGGTAAAACCAATCGTCCACTTTGTTTTTTTAAATTTTGTAAACCATTTTGTTTTTCACTTGCATTTTGTGATGGGCAACACAGGCAATACTAGTGACTCCTACTGGATGGGCAAATGCAGCAACAATCGACATAATCTATGATTTGCTGCACATTATGAAACGTGATGATATCCTTGTTGGCCTCGGAGATACATATGCAACTAATCAGACTTATCCCAACTTCAAATCCATTGGAAGCTGCAAGTATAGAAAAGCCATCCCGCGCGGCGCAGGAGGCTTTCTCGACTCGGACACATTATACGGCTACGCTCATGATTTGCCTCGAAGCCCTCGGAGGTTCCCATTAATCTACATTTTTTTCCGAGTTATCATCATAACTAACACAGGAAAAGAATTAGATGTTTTTTTTTTCAATGATGTCGTGTAGGTACACATCAGAGAATTCGGTGAGCCATGGAGCTCCTCAGGACACTGATCACCCGGAACTCAGGCAACCACTGGCTTTAGAGGTGTGGAATTCGGTTATCGATTCACTGGGCTCGAGATCTAAAGTTACCGTCTTGACAAACGGGCCATTGACAAGTCTTGTGCAAATTGTTGTTTCGAATAAGAAGTCTACATCTCGCATTCAGGTGTGTGACTAATTTTTCACTTAGTGATGTGTTGTTTATCAAAGGATTTGTCAAAAAAATTTCTCATTTTTTCACACTCCCACAGGAGGTTATTATAGTTGGAGGACATATCAGCGAAGACATGAATGATGAAGGAGATGTGAGAAACATTCCCTTGAACAAATATGCAGAGCTCAACATGTTTCTTGATCCTTTGGCTGCGAAGACGGTCTTCAACTCAGGCCTCAACATCACCCTCATCCCCCTCGCCGTCCAACGTGGGGTCCGCCAATTCAGTTTGGCCCTCTCACCTCTCAAAACAAAAAATTCTCCTGAGGCTGTTTTCGCGACAAATTTGCTCTCCACGTTGGAGTGGTTGCATAAGGCTCATTCTAGCTACAGAGACATTGTAAGCATGCTCTTGAAGAAATTTACTTCAAATTCCCTAGGAGGATCCACAATTGTGTGTGTGTGTGTGTGTGTGTTTTTCCTGTGAACCTTAAAATGTGAAAGTATACTTCTTCTTTTTCAAATGCAGGACATGTTCTTGGGGGAAATTCTCGGTTCGGCAGTCTTAGCGGGTCACGATTCGTTTCTAAAAACGACAAGTTATTCACTCAAGAAGATTGAAGTGTTGTCGACAGGTAGCGAATCTGAAGATGGATGGATGATTACAGATCAAAACAAACATACTACAGTGAGGGTATTGGAAAGTGTGAGCCCACTGGCTTTTTACGATACTTTTGCGAATCGACTTGGTGCTAAGGAGCAATCGGCTGAAACCGGAAGCTTTTCTATGAAGAGAAAAGGAAAATGGCATCAAGGAAAGATGCCATAGTTTCTACAGGAAGGTCACTTGATAACATTTTTTTTATAATTTCCAATAAAAGAATTAAATAAAGCATATAGCACCTTTTTTTCTGCTTTTGGTTTGGTTACCAGTTTCAGTTGAAGCATGTTTTGAGCAAAGATTACTGGACAGAAAATCATAGAAAATTTAATAATAAGCTCTTCTATATTCAAAAGTTATAATCTTGAGTTCATTAAAAAAAACTGATTTTCAAGAAAAATCTTGACTTACTCTACCTTTTACATGTGTTTGTTGTATCTTTTTTGTGTGTCTCTTATAGGACTTACAAAATTCACCTCCTTGAGGTTCTTATGCTTGGTCCTTACTCCTTATTGCAGCGTCCACTTACTATTCTTTAGAAAATGCTATTAAGTTTGGCCCTAATATTCTAAGTGTTTTCAATAAAATATACGTTTTGTCAAATGAATTAAGAAGAATTTTGAGGTACTATTGATTTATCCGCATCCAACGAGTATGAATACTTTTTATGACAACGTTGAAACCAAAATGAAATAAAATCACTCTTAAATCATCTAACGTAACTATATAAAAATACCAATGTATCTATAATTTACATTATGTTCTTAGCTATTTAATGTTTTTTTTCATTAGAACTATTTTTCCTTTACTTTTGTTGAGGTTTGAATATATTAATTTATTCTTTTTTACTTTAAGACATTATTATATTATTTTTGCAAAACTAAAAAATACATTAAGAACTCATTTTATTTCGTTCCTCCAATAATATGTTTAATTAATTAGTTTTACTAAATTTTATCCACCAAAGAAATTCACTACCACATAAAATGCTCGCCCACCTTATTAGTTAAATAAAAAAAAAAAAAAAAAAAAATTAACGTGAAAGAACCTGAAAATTTCGTCATCACACAGTTGCTTGGAGAATAAATGAATAAAACAACAAGCAACAGAGAATTAATTAGTGACTAATTAAACACAAATATACGGGTGGTCAGAGATTGAGAATCGAAACAAGTATAAAATTTTAAGTGGAATAAAGGCTACACCAACAGCACCAAAACAGTCTCAACACGCATTGCAACTTTTCTTGCAGTAACCAGGAAGATCCGAGGACCCGATCATGTAATCCGGGTTCTTAGTGCACTCCCCGAGTGAAGCCCATTTCCCGCAGTTCTCATGTGAGTCCGTGCAGTTCCCAACGATCTTGTCGAAGGAGTCAACGTGTATCCACTTTGTAGCTGACCACTTCTCCCCCTCGTCCACCGGGCATCCCGCGTGGAGGCTCGCAGGGTCCGGGACAGCGTTCGGGAAGAGACTGAAAAACAGAAGTGCGTCCCCTTTGCGCGGCTTCACTGTAATTATTATTTTTTTAATAAAAAGAAAAGAAAAGAAAAAAAGGATTAAAAACTGGTTAGCATTAAATTGGAGGAATGTTTATATTTTGAGGTGTTTTTCCCCTTACCTGAAGGACCTTGCCGTCCACACTCAGATAAATCTTTATCTGTCGAGACAGACCTACGTCGAGGAGACTCCTGCATGCATGATTGTCATTAGAAAAAATAATTCAAATAAGGAAACAAGGAGAATAATTATTAGAATGCCGGTACTAGAGGAGATGACGTGGCCAACGATCACTCTAGTTCATCTTTGCATTAAACACCCACAAGAGAGAAGAATGTTTTTGTTGGATTTTTAGCTTTGGTGGGATTATTTACCGAGGAGAACCTCTGCTCTTGGACGACCTAGTGTTCTTTTCTTTGTTGTTCTACATTATAATATTTAGTTTCTTTTACTTGACCCTTTACTCCTATCACATATCCAAACACTTGAAGTGACGGTTTCAAAGTGTTTCTAAAAACTTATAATCACTTTTTGTTACAGATGACTACAAATAATCCCTTGAAAGAGATGCAAGACATTCTGCCCATTAATAATAATAATGTGGAAGTAAAGAAAGTGGAAGCATGATACCTCTGCAGATGGGAACACGGTTTCACCACCTTTTTTAACATCAGTAAGATACATTAGCACGGTGGCTATGCGGTGGCCCCCACGAGCTATATTGACCTTGTCAGCAAAGTAGTCGTAATGAGGGTCATACTTCTGTCCAGGCTCATACCGCAGAACTTGAATGTCTTCCCCATTATCTATATAGGGCAACAGATAACTTAACATTATCTGTTCTCCATTCATGGATTCATTCCAAAATCTGACATAAATAGGTAACTTAAGGAGATCTAAGGCGTCAAGCAAATACGAGACACATAATGAATCACATAATATGGAGATACTATATGTTAAAGACATGACAGTATACAGAATGGCTAGAATAGCTGCAGATATGGAAGTAAATGAGGGACAAATAGAAAGCGACAGAAGCATATAAACGTGGCAAGAAATGAAAATAAACGAGAAGTAGCACCTAATACAGCACAAAGGATGTTTATTTATTTCAGGTGACCGTCAGCTTAACATTCTTAGTAAATCATGTTTATGTGAAATTTGAATTTCAAAACTACTGGGGATGGGGCAAGATGAGCCAGAAAAACACAAAGAAGAAAAGAAAAAGTAAAAAGCAAATGAATTCTGAGAGGCTACAAACTGATTCACATTACTAAAGACTATGTAACTAAGTCGGGTAGCCGCTATCCAGTGGTGATAACTCCATTTCGTATCGAAGTACGAGAAAATGCTTGAAATTCATAATTGCCAAAAAAGTGACCTTTTGGTAAGAATGTCCATGTAGCAATCTTCTCTTCTATGCCCGCAACAATAGGATCCTAAAAACAGATATGAAACAAAAAGATTCAAAAACATTGCACTCAAGGTTGTCAAATTTAAATTCTCAATAAGTATGGTCAAAGGAAGATACATCCATATCATCAAAGATTTGATGAATCAATAGAAACAGAATATAAAAGATTTAACTTCGTACGACATTACATTGTTTGCTACCTGTGTGCCAACAATTACACATCATCAAGTTACCGACATCAACCACCAATGACAAACACATAGTCATTATCAAGAGTTATACATGAAACACCAATCCATGAGATCATATGATTTTTCCAAAACATTCTTACATAAGGTTGGCTACTCAGCGATCAGTGCATTAAGTCATGAAGAAGTTATCGAATTCAAGAAATTAAAGACACTCTCTCATTATTCATCAAGAAGTGAAAGTCTCAACAATTATTCGTAAACATTCACTAAAACGAATCCCAACCAAATTACTGGCATCGCTATCTAAGTAAATCATTCTGCAGCCGACATTCCTGAGGGAAACTGATAGACACACTCGATTGGGCAGAACTTGAATTTGGATATTATTGAGCCAATACATCAAACACTTGAAATTGTTTGTTCAAACAAAACATCAGAAAAGACGAAACAATGCACAAAAATAAATCTGAACCTTTCCCTTCGGAATGAACATTCCCGAGCTGGTCCGAACTTCACTAAGAACACTCTTCCCAGAGAGATTGTCAGCAACAGCTGACCTCTTCAGCTCCGATTTTGCCTAAATTCCATCACACCGATCAAACAATACCATAAACATGTACGAAAAAAAATACTAGCAATGAATCTAAACTTACAAGAGAAACTAAATGGTTGCATTCTTCTTCCGTGAGAAAACCTTCGTACACAAATGCTCTAAAATATAATTCAAAATATGAAGAAGCTCAGATATACAAATCATCAACGAATCGAGAAAATAATACAGAGTTTCTTGAATTACAGCCATCTCCGAATACGAAGATAAAATAGAGGGCAAGAATTTACCAGATTAATAATACCTGGGTTTCCATGAAATGGTTTTGACTTTCGATGGATTGATTATTGAATTGCAAAATGATTTCTGCAAGATCGACGGGATCAGCAGCAGGACAATCAGTGGAATGTGAAGAAACCGAGTCATCAGGACAAAAACTTTTTTGTTGGATCTTTGAGAAAATTAAAGCAGAGGTGAAGTGTTGAATCTAATAACTTCCGGAGCTAAATCACTCCAGGGAAGTTGACGAAGATGTATATATAATAATAGGCGATTCATGTCTTAATTAGCTATACTTGTACCAGCGGATTACACACTGTTGGTATAAATAAATAAAAAAAATAAATATACTTCAATTCTAGAAAACAAATATATAAAAGATTTTGAGACACGTAAAAAAATTTCTTTCCTAAAAAATTATACTCACCCAAATTGGCTCGCGCAAGTCTTCGCCTTCCGCAACCGCTGCCTCCTCTTCACAGGTTTTGCGGCGAGGCCCGGTGATGTCCTCTGGTGTCGCTCCGTTCGTTCTATTAGGAGCCACGGTTCTCCACCGGATGCAGGTCTCGCTGATCGTTCAAGGTGTCTAAGTTGCGGTATGGGGTACTTGGGGTTCCGACTAGTAGCGTTCGGTGGGTTACGACCAGCCTCCTCGGAGTTGGTCGGTGCTGAGGTATGGCTCACTCCCCTCCATTCATCCTCTTCTTGTATTGGTGGTCCGAACTGGGAGGCTGAAGGTGGGTGTGTGGTCGGTGGGTGGTTTGAGGGTTTTTGGTGGCTGGGTGGTTGGTTGGTCGGGCGAGAGGGTTCGGTCGATGGGAGGGGCGTAGGTGATCGACCTCTGGTTTCAGCAATAGGGACGGTCCGCCTATGAGAAGATTTTGGTCGCCTAGTGCATTTCTAGCTAATCGTGGATACACTAAAGTTTCTTGAGCAGTACTCGAGCCAGACTCCTATCTGAGTGGACGATTGT